CTGAAATGGTGCCCAAACATATGGATCAATGCCTTAAGGCCAGTCCAAATATGAAATTCAAGGGCTCATTGACTACACATACTTTATCTCTATAAAATATTAACTTTGGCAGAAATCTCAACTATTGTATAAGCTATTTTTAAAAAAACACATTGCTTTTGGAATCAGTATTACTTTAAAATTTGTATGCATTATTGCTAAAATTGTCTCACTTTTTTCTACCTTTGTAGTACATTGGGTTCAATTGCATTAATCAGCCAAGACCACCAGGCATTTCTGTAATATTTTGGGTACTCATAAGGACTTTAATGAATCATTTGACTCATATAAATTATTACAATCATATCAAGGGCTTTTCAAAGGAAAAGAGAATAACTGACTTTATTTTTTATTATATTGCTTAAATCCTGTTTCTCTTAGCTTAAGATTTTGACAGTTCTGTCCCCAAACACATTGATTTTAGCCCACTCACAATTACTTTGGCCTCATTATAGTTAATTGTTTTAATTTTCTTTGTTGGCATGTTTCTTCTTCTGCACACCAGGAACTCCTCCTTGATTTAAGTCTGGCTGAAGGAACCTTCTCAGATGATATCAGGAATTGCATATAAAAAATAGGTCCAGGTCCAGAATGAAGTGACAATAAATGCTGCTGATGACACCTGTCCATCATGTCTACCTACTGCAGACAGGGGTCAAAAGAACGCACCCAATCTCCTGGCATGAGAGACCTCACTTTGACACCCACAGCTAGTCACCCACCATAAAAACTTTCTACACCATTATGCTCATCAAAAGTAGATTGCTTTTCCAAGTTGGTCAATAAAAAGAGTGGACCTGATATGCAAACTCTCCTTGTGTCATTTAGCTTCCCATCTGCATCACAGGCTTCTCTGAATGGCCATCTATACTTTTGCTAATGCGAGTGGTGGGAGTCATCTAGTAGACTGTAAGAATATTGGAAATGTTGGAGTGTGTAAACATGGTTCCATAAAGCCCCAGAGATACATCGCTATGGCCTCTACTTTTCTAACTTGTGAATATAAATAGAAAGGATGAAAGTTATAAGATGAAGACAAAAAATTAAAATCATGCCCTATTAGAAAATATATTGCTTATCCTAAAAATAGCCCTTTTCTGCTATATTTATTGCATCTTTCAGGCCATTTGTGATGATGTTGGTTACCCATGACAACAATTTATTATTCGCTATAACTTTACATTTATTTCAAAGAAAAGAAAATGCTTTTAAAGAGCCAGAGAGCTCAATACAATCAAATAAAAGTGACATTTTGTTGAATATGCCATGCTGCCAAGGACTTTCTCATACATTACCTCATTTTATCCTAATAACTCTGAAAAATTTTTCATGTTTCATCTTCAAAAATCAAATTAAATTGTGTGGCTCAGATGGAAAAATCTTTACAGTACTTTTTCTATTCAACTCAATTCTTATTTTTCTCTAATTGCATCTTGTTTGGGAAAGACAAAGGTGTGTTAAAACAGTTAATTAAAGTAAAGGACTGTCCTGGATTGCCCAGGATGGAGGATTGCTCAAATGTGAGATTTTAAAGTTAACATTGAGTTCCGTGAAAACAAGACAGTTAGTTCTATATTTCAAACTTCAATGTATTTAAGGAGATGGGTATATTTTCATCAAAGGAACTAGCAGTCTCTCAATAGTCCCAATAATAAAGCTCATTCTTAAACTAGTGGTGACTCTTGATTTTTAGATAACCTTCCCTTAGTACTACACATAACAAATCTAAAAGAGATTTGTTGAAACAAAATCTAATATGGAAAGCTATTTCTTGAAAAATAATTATGTCTAGAAACCATGGGCATTCCAGAATGAGAAATGTCCCACACATAGAGACAGTTATTCAAATACAATGGAGATTGGCCCTTTAAAAATGTCAGGGACAAGGACAGAATCTCTAGTTAGTGGAAAAGTACAGACCCCCGATAAGACAGGGAACTAGATCATCTTACAGTCAGGTTGCCTAGCAACAGGACATTGAGTCAGAGCCCTTGACCCTCTCACCCTGTAAACATTCTATACAAACATCCTGTTAGCTTGCCCCACCTTATGCAGATGACAGCTTCTTGCTCCCCACCACCACCCGTAGGAACTATATAAACCCTTCTGGAAGGAAATAAAGTGGCACCTTGATCAGAATCTAGACTTGGTGTATTTTCTTTTGTATCTCCTGTCCCTACATTCCCTTCTTAGGGTGGTCAAGAACCTGTTGTAGCCCTGCAGGCAGGGCATAAAAACACCATTTATGAACAAGTTGTGTGATGTGGTATGCTAACATTTCTATGTGCTATTTTATTCTTGCAATAATAACATTTTAAGATAAAGAAAACAAAACAAAATAAAGGAAGGCCCTGTAGTTCATTACAGGTGTGATTTACGCAGCTCTACCTGAAATGAAGGCTATCACCATTCAAAACATTGCCATATGAGGGGTCAAGATATTTTCAGTCAGATAATTCATTTAGATACACTGAGAATTTAGAATGGGGTGGCATAGTACATGATGGTGAAAGTATATAGCAGAGGGGAACTGTTCCCTTCATGGCTTGCAAGAAACAGAAAGAGGAGAAGAAGAAGGAGAAGAAGGAGAAGAAGAGGAGGAGGAGGAAGAGGAAAAGGGAGAGGAGAAAGAAGAAGGGACTATGTGTCAATATCCTGTTTAGGGCCATCCTCCAAAAGACAACTTATGTCTTCAGGCCCTGCCTCTTAGTAGTTTGACTCTTTATCAATAGCATTGTATGATGGGAACCAAGTCTCCACATGTGGGCTTTCAGAGATATTTAAGTTCAAACTGTAGCCCATACTATATGCACATATATCCACTTTAAAGTAACTTAAAAACTGATTAATAGAATTACTGGTAAATCATAATAAATACTATGTAATATTTTTGTCAAGATAGCTTTGAAAATATTTCTGATCTGGAAATTGTATGCAATTGTATTACTATCAAAAATTATCACAAAATAAATGAAATTTTAAAGTACTGATAACTACATTTCCTTTAGTAGGTCAGTTTATGGAAAGATGGGTGGATGAGACTCTACAGTTAATGGTGCTTATTGTCCTTCCAGAGGACCTGATTCTGGTTTCCAGCACTCACATCTGGCATCTTACAACTGCCTGTAACTCCAGCTACTAGAGATATGATGTCCATGTGTGCATGTGGATACAAATAAATCTTAAAAGATAAACAACTGTACAATACTATTCACCAAAAACAGTGTCCACTTTTTAGGACTTAAAAGATAGACTTATGTTCCTCTAATTTTTATAAAAATACTTCATTATGACTTCGTTTTCAAGAATCTATTCATAGAAAATTAATTATATTAACCAAGACTTCTATTAAGAAGCCCTTCTATATTTTACTAGTACAACAATAATTGATATTCATAACAATAATTTGATGTCATTACAAGAGTCTGAAATGTTTCCTGAATGAAAAGAGACAAGATGTGCTTTAGAATTTAGGGTATTGACTATGTCAAATTCAAAGATTTTCATACTTCAGTAGCTGACACATGAAGATTAATCAGTTGCTAAAAATTTCCCTATTATGGCAGCCTTCCTAGGCTGCCCAGGGCGGCTTCCTCCAGGTCTGCTTTCTCATCAGGGCTTCATTAAGTTTTCTGCTCATCTGCTGAAGAATCATGGTAGCTCCTCATGGACTCAAGGAAATCTCGCAGCCCTCCCAGTATCACATTCTCAACTTCATTTCCTTGAGAGTAACTCCAGCAAGCCATTGTCTTTCAGGGTCTCTTCCACTCTCTTCCCTCTCCCTGTCACCAGGAGTGGGACTTGGCCTGGAAAAGGGTGATGCTATTTAGCATAAAGATATACTCTGAGGTGACCAAATACAGAAGTCCGTCCGAGCCCTGCTTTGATTCATGTGAACTCTCTACCTAGAGAATGTTCTATGCTCTCCAAAGACTAGTGACTGTCTTCTTCTACAGTTTTGGGGTTGTTCAGATAATCTCAGAATCCAAAGATTGCAAAAGTGAGTCTCTTCCTCAAGAGGGCTATTGTTGTGGATTTGCTTCCCATTCTTCACATCTCTCAGAGCTGTGCATCTGCGGCGCTGACAGCTGCCTGGCACCTGGTGCACGGAGTCAGAAGCCTCTAGAGAGAGAGTCCTCCAGTCAGGGTGCTCCTGCTGCTTATCTTCATTCTCTCTCTCCATGGCTTCCATCCACACTCCCTGAAGTGGCATGAGTTTACTTTGTGATCAGATAAGGAATTTATCAAAAATTGGACATAAACGAGAACCAATCCAAACTGAGTTTAAAACAAATGTGGTTTTTGTTTGAAAAAAATTAATATTATGGTGAATTATATATTAAGCTGTGTCAGAGAAGTTGAAATCTTACAAATCCCATTGGTCCCCTTGTCTAAGTATTTACATATTTTGCCAATGGTCAAAAACATAGTATTGACTGCTGTTATACCTTCTCTCTGTGCATTGAAGAGGGTAGAAATTGACTTTGTTGGGTTTATGACAGATTCACCAAACAGTTGGAAAATGTCCTTAAACAAAAATAATACATGTACACATTAGCACGTATTTGCAGACACATCCCTGGACAGAGACATGGCCTTTGGAGCGAATTAAACTGAAGAAAACTTCAATTCTTCAGGAAAACTTCCAGTTCCATTAAGATAGGTAGCTTTTTATATCCTAGCATGTCGAGAAAACATATTTTTAAAACCTTCACTTGATTTCAGTTGGAAATTGCTGGGCTTCTTAGAAAAGTGTCGGAAGAAAGTAGACAAGAGAGGCTCAGTTTTCTGGTGCCAGGTTCTTGTTAAGAAGATTTTCCTGAGGCTCCATCTGCTTTCCTTGTTTCCTAGGGGAAAATAAGCTGGTAGGGGACCTCCTCGTCTTGGGAGGAGCCACGCTGTATGGCATCTCTAACGTCTGGGAAGAATCCATCATCCGAACTCTGAGCAGAGTGGAGTTCCTGGGAATGATTGGTCTCTTTGGTGCATTTTTCAGTGGAATTCAATTGTGAGTAAAAATAACAAGAAACATGGAGGCGATAAATGAGTGGGTTTTATTTTTACAGTTTTTGCCCTCGGAGTGTAAAACCTAAGGCAGAAAAGCAATCATCAAACTCCTGCACAAAGATCTTATTCAATCTGTAAGCTATATCCTCATTAGTAAATTGCTTCCAAACTAAGTAAGTGTATTCTAAATTATTACAAAACATTTAATAGATTTTGAAGATGATTTTGAAGAATAAGAAGTACATTAATTCTCCCAGTGACTGGGTTATAATTCATAAAGAAGTTATAAGCAAATCACAAAGGTCATGATTTGATACACTTCAAAGGGAATATATTTTGTTTATTAGTGGTAGCTGTTAGGAAATGGCTACTTTAAAATTGCTCTTTTATGGGAGAGATGGCTCAGCAGTTAAAAGCACTGGCTGCTCTTCCAGAGGACCTAGGTTCCATTTTCAGCATCCATATGAAGGCTCATGACTATCCATAACTCCAGTCCCAGAATACCCTCTTCTGATCTCCTTGGACACCAGACATACATGTAGTGCAGAGACATACATGCAGGCAAAACACCCATATACATAAAAGGAAAACCATTTTAAAAATAAAATTGCCTTTGATAGGTGTTCTTTGTTGCCCATGAGTTCAAAAGAATGAACCACATTTCAAATCAAGTATCAGAATTTAGCATTCTCTTTTCCTTAAAAAGATAGGGACAGAACACTGAAATTTACTAAATGCCATAAAGCAAAATATACTAGATTGTCAATAATTCCAAAACTGGAGCAAAAATTATCCCTTAGTGCATTATCTGGTCTCTCAAAATTTGTTGTAGATGAAGCATAATTTCCTACCAGTAAAGAACACACATTTCAGTCCATGTGAGGAGCAGTCTAGTTTCACCAAAGAAGCAATTGCTATTCCATGGCATTTCTTTCTACAAACCAAACACTTTGTAACTGTATAGGTTTTTTGTTGTCAGAAATTACTTGAAAATATTTTGGCATCACTTGAAACATTATGTATATAGATAGGTTCTTTCCAGCACATTCCTCAAAAATCTCAGGGTCCTGAAGTACTGCAAACTCTCCAGGAGGTACATAGAAATGGGAAATTTCTGGGGGTTTATTTGGGGTTCATTATGAAAGTGTAGTGGCATTTTGAAGCTCCCAAATTTGTTAATTCATCTTTGTGAGAGGAAGAAAGGATTATTTAGGTAAAGCACTCATGGCTGACATTTCATAGATGGATGGTTCATTTTATGCATTATTGTTTGTATTCTTGCATCCAAAATATATATCCCGAGATCTGCTCTTTTTCTTGATTACAGTCTGTCATGGCTAATGGAGCTCTGGAGGGAGGCCCTGCTGCCAAGATAAGGGCTTTGTTTGGTGAATTAGATAAGTTGAGGGTGTGCTGGACCCACACCCTTGCTAGAATGGTAGAAATGGTACCACCCTCACCTCCTGCTCCAGTTCAGTCCTTGGACCACAACACTGCCATCACCTGAGGACTAGCAAAGCACCTCCCTGAGCCCCTCCAAGTTCACCTGAATCTGAAGGTCTAGGGAGGAGGTTCCAGAGACAGTCGTTTAACACTCTCTAGGTGGCTATGAGACACATGCAATCCTGAGAATTACTGCTGCATTGACTGTTCAGTGGGCAAACTGATGAAGCCTGTAAGCATAGAGTTTCCTGGACCTTACCATGTGCTTCCCCTAAAGCACATGAACAAAAAGAAACCAAAGGAACAAAATGCCTGTCTGGTTGAGAACAATGTGGTTTAGACTCCACCAGACCCTCATTGCTGCTGGGCCCGTGTAGAAAGACCTTTCAGGGAGAGATTACAGGCTGCTCTGCAGAGGCCAATTTATTTCTGAAGTTTAATTGGTTGTGTTAATATTTGTGTAAATATGGTAAATGGCAGAAAAAGGAAGCAATGTGTGTGATCATTTTGTCCATTTCCTTTGACTCTACAGAGCCATCATGGAACACAAGGAGCTGCTAAAGGTGCCCTGGGATTGGCAAATAGGTAGGCATCCGCTCACTGAAGATTACGTTTTTATTAGTAAATCTGAGAAATGCGCTGGAAAAGTTGTGCAAGAAGGGATGGTTGGGGCAGACAAGGAAGAGATTTAGAATGGCAGGGGACAAAAGGAGATGAAATTACCTTGCCACGGTGGGAAGTCCTTCACACAATAAAGGGACTGGATTTCCTGAATCATCTGGTTTCCTGCCACTTAACACTGTCAAGGTGTTTTATGGGAGACACAAAAGTGTGTTATTAGGTTAAAGACCAACCAGAAAAGAAAGGCCCAAGGCAGTAGTGGTACAGAAATGAGAGCAATTTGCTCCAGTCAAGAAATACAGAATTGATGTGATCATTAAGGAGCAGCACTTTGGGAAAGGGGAAAACTGAACTTAGCAGAAGGCATGAAAAGAAACAACATAATGGGCATCCCGGGCTCTTTGGAACCTTTTCAGAAGGGAGCACTTACACTTAAATTGTTAATTGATCTCTAACTGGCCTTGGAAATACTAGATAGGCATTGGACTACTCCAGAGACATCCAGGGCATCTTAGATCCCACTTGTTTCTAAACTCACCTTCTTCTAAAGAAAAAAATTTAGGGTAAGGCTTTCAGATCCGTGATGATGCTCTAATGGATGATCATTCGGCAAGCCCTAGGATGAAATGCCCCTTAATGCCCTCATAAAGTCTATCATGAAGCAACAGACACCAGGAGTGAAAATGGCTTGAGTGTAGGCCAGTGGTTCTTAGCATATGGGTTGGGACTCCTTTGGGGTCACATATCAGATATTTGCATTACAATTCATAACAGAAGCAAAATTATAGTTACAAAGTAGCAACAATATAATTTTAGGGTTAGGGTTCCCAAAACCTGGGTGTAGTAGAATATTAAGGCGTGTTACTTTTGTTTACATTGCATTTGTTTAACTCTGTGAAGCTGTGTTACTGTGCCTGTGTAATACACCTGATGGTCTAATAAAGAACTGAACAGCCAATAGTGAGGCAGGAGAAAGGATAGGCAGGGCTGGCAGGCAGAGAGAATGTATAGAAAGAGAAATCTGGGAGGAGAGGTCTAAGATCTAGGAGCCAGAGAAGGAGGACAACTTCAGGGGCCACCCACCCAGATACACAGCAAGCCATGGAGTAAGACTAAGATTTACAGAAGTAAGAGAACAGGAAAAACCAGAGGTAAAATGTAGATGGGATAGTTAGTAAAGAAAAGCTGGCTGGAAACTAAGCCAAGCTAAGGCCGGGCACTCATGAGTAAGAATAAGCTTCCTTGTGTGATTTATTTGGGAGCTGGGTGGTGCCTCCCCTCAAAGAGCCAAACAACAACAACAACACAACTATATTAAAGGGTCTCAACATTAAGAAGGTTGAGAACCACCAGTTTAGGCCAGATGGGGTAGTAGTACATGTAATATGTGTGCAGAATAAATGTAAATCTGGGTTGCAGGGGATACAGGTGCTGCCCCTCCACCTCCAGTATACATAGCTTTGATATCCATGATAGTTTCAGTATATTTTCTTTCCACGGAGAAAGACATCAGTGACCTGTTCCTCTGCAGCACTGTATCCACCCCCAGCCCACAGCATACGACCATAATACTACCAGTATTATGCCCCCTGGTGGCTGACTAAGTGGCAGGCATTTGTATGACCAGATGGGTTAGCTCGGTGACTTCAAACAGGGGCTAACCTACCCCTGTGTTTGTTTCAGAGTCCTCCATTGGTTTGTTTCTTAAGTAAGCATAGGGACTGTCACAATTAAGTGAAAAACAATAGAGAGGAAGGAAGGGGGAAGAGGAGGAGAGGGCAGTTGGGAGAGAAACCAGCTGGAGGGGCCGAAAGCGTGTGCCTTTGCAGCTCTAGAAGCCAGGGCTCTTAAACATGACTAATGCTTCACAGCACTTCACATACAGTGGTCTGTGAGGGTAAATTAATTCGATATTGATGGTAATGGCCGTAATCAAAAGGAATTTGTCCTCTAATTACATAGATGTCCTGTGCATGTCCGCTGAGACTTTGTTATAATTCAGTGTTAGTTAAATGTGCCGTCACAAGGTAGTTTTATCCTGAGCTCTCATATTGCCATTAAGATGTCAGTCCCCTGCAGCTCAAGATGATGAAGACTGTGTAAAAGGAACATATCACAGGGCCATCAAATTAATTCCTGGTAGGAAATGAGGCCCAAATGGCCTAGATATAGGATCAAATATTCATTTTTTCCCCTTTTCTGAAGCACTTGGGCACTGGAATTGGAAAGTTTATACCACAGCCACCTTTGTCCCTGTTAGCTCGCTCGGATCGAGTACAGGGTCTAGTCGTGCAGCTTGGTTATAGACATGTGACATTCAGTAAACCCGTGATCATCGAGTGAGCAGGTGAGTGAACGACAGCAGAAAAGATGGGTCTCTGTTCTAACGATCAGACCAAAAGGAAGCAGGGGGGCAATATCAGAGGCTTGAGATGATGTTGCACAGTCTTCTGGGTAACTGAGAAATGGCAGAGCAGCCGCTGAAGTTCGTGGACCAGGGAGACATTGGAGGAGGTCAACATCCTGTTATGTTGCCCCCACATACTTCAGGAGGTCAGCCAGGAGTGAATCAAGAGCCTTGCCCTTCATGGCTGTGTCCTGGAGAAGAGCACATATTGCTCTGATGAAGAGAACAGACTCCCGGGGTGGCTGGAATGTAGTCTATAAGTAGAGTCTTTGCCTGGTATGTCCAAGGACCTAAGATCAGTTCCCAGTAACACACAGGATGGGGCTGGGGAACACAGAATCCAAGACTATCCTCATTTACCATGATCTGTCAGTAAGTACCCCACCCCACCCCTCTGTCTACAATTCTAATATACCTCACAGAATCTCTGGGTTATCCGAAGTTATCAATGCAGAGAGTATTTCCCCCGCTACAGTGTAAAAGCAGAAAGAGAAATGCTTTCTATTTTCTGGATATGAAGATTATTCTTAATGGATTATTATTGTTGTACAGTGTGTGGACTAATTTCAAGATAGAGTGATTAAAAGCAAGATGATAATGGTTATCATTGTTTTTATTCCTTTGTTCTACTCTACTGAGCGGAAAGACTGCTTATGATTATCTGATCAGTAAACTCGAGTAAAACATAGGACTCAGTACAGCCAAACTGTCCTCCCCCAGAGCAGGAATCTTAGGCTCACTGCCAGAAACCCAGTAAACAACTTAAATAGTCCCTTTATCTCATGTGCCATTCTGTGTTAATGGGTGTATGAACAAATGTGAGCTGATGGGAAAGTCAAATATGGAGGAAAGGAGTTCTGAGAGTCAGTAGAAATAGGCTTGCTTACATGGAGGTGCCTTTTCACTTTCGATGGCACAGCTGATGACTGTTTGTTACCTTACCTGGCAACGGGATCATGTGGTCACAGAGCAGGGAACTTCTGAAGGTTCCTTAAGAATGCACTGAGGAGTGCTGGGGAGATGACTCAGTGGGCAAAGTGGTGGCCGAAAAGTATGAGGACCTGAAGTCAGATCCCCAGATCTCAGTGAAAAGCCAGGCCTGGTGGAGTGCATCTGTAATGTCAGCACTGGGGAGGCAGACACAAGTAGTTCCCAGGCCTTATCGCGCAGCTAGTCTAGTTAAAAGGTGAGCTCTGAGTTCCTCAAGACTTCCTGTCTCAGAATCAATGGAAGAGTGATTGAAAAAGACACTCAATATTGATCTTTGATCTGCACACACACACACACACACACACACACACACACAGAGAGAGAGAGAGAGAGAGAGAGAGAGAGAGAGAGAGAGAGAGAGAGAGAGAAAGAATTGTACACAAAGGCACACAAAAGAATGTATAAGGCTGAAACTTATGCCTACATTTCTGAGATGACTTGATCAAGCTTTCAGTTTCCTGTGATGGAACAAATTTGCATTATCTTAGAAGATCCAGATAGCCAAATGCTCTTGGTATATTTGGCCTATAGTGTGTATGTGTGTATATATATATATTCTGAGAAATCATTGTATCTTGCTATTATTAATAAAAATATCTTAGTCTGGTTTATACAAAGGGGTGATAGAACACCAGTAGGATCTCAAAGGAAAAGAGGAGATAAAATGCATGTGTCACAAACAGGCACCCACTATGTGCACAATGGATGCACATACACCAAATGGAATGGTCACTTGTCAAACAGGATGTCCCTTATCTCTCTATCTTCAGAGTAACTCAGCCTTAGACATTAGTGGTGCGTACTCACAGAACTCAGACTGCCCATGAAAGCTAAGGGAACGGTCATTGGCCTGTTTCTTACAGATCAATGTTTTTCCTATGCCCTGTTCTGCACATACAAATGGTCCTTCCCAGACTGGGCAGGTTTGGCCAGTGAGAGGAAGTAGAGGGAGATGAGAGGCAGAAAGAAGAAGAAAGGAAGTGGATGTTTTCCTTATTCCATACTACTTGTGGTCAGGTCTCCAGAAACAGCTGAATCCCTGTGGTCTTCTTCTGTGGTACTTCCCTAGTTCCTGTTCTTAGGTAATACACCTTCTGCCTTTATTTCTCTACATCATGGGGTATAATTTATAGCTATTGCAAGTCTCTGGTTTCTTCTCCATCCCTGTCTCCCCTTTCACCCATTCAAATATGATTGCAGCATATGCTCTGTTAAATTTTCTCTGCTCTACCTGGTATGGGCTGTGTTTCTTGATCAAAATAATCAATAAATCCATCTCCTATCTACAGCAGAAACAGCAATTCTTTTGCATTGCTTTTGAGATTAGCTAAAGCATATACCACCCATGACACATAGTAAAGACCCCATTGGGATTAGCCAGTAGTGTTATTTTCAGTTTCTCCACATTAAGTCTCTTCAGTGCATGAGGACAAGAGAAACCAAACTCTAAACTTAGTGAGAAAATACATTGCAAATGTGAACTGGTTATATACATGCTCTGACTATAGATGTATTTAATATAATCATTATGTATTTGTTAGTCAAAATAGTTCATTTGTTTGATCGTGTCTATTGATTGTAAACTCTCCACGGACAGCAAATTGGTTCTTGAGGTGAACTTCTAATGTCCACTAACTACCTAATGTCTGCCTCAGAACAGCAGAAGGGCAAAATGTGGCAGTACTGCATCCTCCGTCTGTCTAATTATGCAGTTATCTGACTATGCTTCACTCACAAATCAGGGTATCCACACACAGAAGCCCTGACTGGCTCAGTAGAAACCATCAGCTAAGACGGTGTCGTTCACCTACATTTAACTTTGGCAGCTTTGTGAAATACAGGAAGAATGTTTAAACTGGAACTATCCTGAGTTGGCCAGATTACTAGGGTGATGGTCTATTATATAGCTGAGTTCTCACTCTGCTTAGGTCAGTAAATGTGATTTTTAAAGTCCTGCCTCTTCTCTGAGCCTGCTCACGACCCATCCAGAACTCCACTAGGCAGATCCACATGAATGATGAATAATTATCTAAACCAACACGTTCAAGTGTTGTTTCACTTTCTCTGAAAACCCCATCTTCTCATTGCTCTCTCTGTCTCAGTACAACGGCACCACAATTCACTCATTTGCGACAGTAGAGAGCAGGTCTCTTCCTTGATGCCCTCCCACCCGCCCCCGCTGCTTACCTTCCAGCCATGAACAGGTTGACTCAGTATTCACAGAGCCAGGCCCTTCCCTTTTGCTCCCCAAGTGAACCACACGCCTTTCCTTCCTGGACACAGACGCCGCTCTCCTCACAACACCCTTCCTGTGCTGTCCCCCATTCCCTTCCTCCTGCAAAGAGTAGCCAAAGTCATCTTTTCAAAATGTGGATCAGATTGTGCTAGATCACTGGTGCAAACTGCTCAGGGGGTTCCTATTGCCATTAGAGATTTCTTTCTAAGACACACAGGGCTCCATATGAGCTACAGCCTCCCTAATTTCTCTACCTCATTCTTACGATTCAGTCATTCTGGTCTCTGGGATAAACCATAACTTTCCCCTCCTTGAGAATTTTTTCAGATGGAGACATCTGTGCCTCCTTTAATCTCTTCCTGGTCCTCACATTCAAAGTCAATGCCACCTTGCTTGGCAAAGCAGACTTAGCTGAGGATCCTTCTTAAAGCAAGCCCTGGCCATTCTCTCTGAGGAACCTTTTCATTCCTTCACCATGAACAGCTCTGAGCTTATTGTCTGTCCCCCATATTGATGGATTCTTAGCCGAAAGCAGAGGGCCCATGGCACACTAGATTTTCAATGAAGAATTAGTTTAAAAAGAGAGTGAACATAAACCATCAGAGCCCACAGGTCAGTGTCCATGTATGCTTTACCAGATAAGAAGATAGAAGGTTAGGATTCCAGAACTTGTTAGCACAGTTATCTGTGGTGATATATTGTATACACTAATAAAATTTGCCTGAAGATCAAAGAGACAAAGGAACAAGCCAAAGCCACCACATCTTACTGGTGTGGTGACAGAACAAGCCACTAGATTAAACATAAATGCTAGGCAGTGGTGGCACATACCTTTAATCCTAGCACATGGGAGGCAGAGATCTGTCTGGATCTCTATGAGTTCAAAGCCACCCTGGACTACATGAGATTGACTCAGTCTAGGAGAGAAAACAGAGCCAGGCAGTGGTGGCACACACCTTTAATCCCAGTACTTGGGAAGCATACACGCCTTTAATCCCAGGAAGTGATGGCTGGGCAGAGAAAGGGATATAAGGCTTGAGGAGACAGGAACTAAAGTCTTTTTGGCTGAGGAAGCTCATCTAGCTAGAAGCCTATTGGCTGAGGCTTTTTCAGGCTAAAGAGTTGGTGACGTGAGAGGTGGTGGTTCTGGCTTTTTCCTTTGTCTCTCTGATCTTCGGGCAAATTTATTAGGGTATACAATATATCACCACAGTTATCCTATAAGCTAAATCAATGATGCCCAAGATAACAGACAAGAGGGAAAGAAGGGAGAGAGGGAGGGAGGGAGGGAGGGAGGGAGGGAGGGAGGGAGGGAGGCAGGCAGGCAGGCAGGCAGGCAGGCAGGCAGGCAGGAAGGAAAAGAAAGGCTCTGGTGTTCTGGTGTGTTTGGACTATATTCTACCCAAATTTGATTATCTTCAGTAGAATAACTTAAGGGTAGAACTTGTTCCTAGTCTGCTAATGGCAGATTTCATAAGGAATTCTGAATTAATTCTTGGGTCTTCTTGTGTATTAGTCATAGGTTATCTAGTCTTTGTTATATTTTTTTGTAAGTTATTTAAAAGGAAAATCAATTGTAAGTAACATGAAACTCAAGTGAAAGGAAATTGACTATTTTTATGGAATTTAAATTTCTGATGGAGAGTCACACAGCATCTATTAGGATTTTGGCAGAATGTATACATGCAATGAGGTCTCCTAGCTTACTGAACCCAGAAGTAGGGATATCATCCGGCTTGGTGTGGAGGGCATGTCCACCACACTAGAGGGGGCTGTTGTACTGTTTGCTTAATGTTCACAATGACTTTCATATGTATCTGCTGTAACTTTTCTTAAACCTATGATCAGAAGTATAGACTAAGCTCTGTGTCCTTTAGAAGCAAAACAATGGAGGAATCACTGATCTTAATCAGAGGAACCGGACATCGATTGTGACCAAGTTCCCCTGAGCCCCCAGGATTGAAAGGAAGCAAAGTGCTCACACTCTACACCAGACACATTTAATCCAAGAGTCACTTGTATATCACCCAGAGAACCCTAGAATTGTATCGTGTCTTGTTCTTTCAAAGAACAAGCAGAAAAATAAGCATGATTTTTGTGCATATGTATTACCTCAATGTCTGGGAAATGATGGAGCCTACAGTTACCTATAGAATGCTGCTATAGACAGTCCAAACCTTGTACTCATGGAATTAGTACCGCCAATGATATGTCCAGAGTCCACAACTGCCTAGGAAAGCTGACAGAAGGACAACGCTCAATTTCTTTGGTGTAGAGATGAGCAGAATTCATTCATTTTAAAGAAATGAACAGATTTCCTATGTTCGAAGCAATCCCATTGTCTGTTCAAAGATGTAGTTTAAGTCTTCAGTTTGGTAGTCTAAGTTCAGGTCTTTAATTTCAGTAACTGTGTAGTTTACCCTTGAGAGCAGTACATAGTGTATTTCATTCACTCCTGTTTTGCAAGTAAAACCTAAGAGGTTAAAATGTTTTGAAATACATGGACAGGCCATGAGAGACAACTCAGTAACTAAGGAAGCTTTGCTGTTCTTGCAGAGGACCAGCATTTGGTTCTCTCTACCCATATGTGGGAGGCTTACAATGGCTTTCAACTCCAGCTCTAGGGGGTCTGATGCTTTCTTCTGACCTCCTCAGGTGTGTGTGCATGTGTGTGCACATGTGCACGCGCGCAC